GGGACAAGGGAAGGTTACACATTTACAATGACTGTGCTGACAGCAGCAGGAGACCATTATCCTGTCACAACGCTCTGTTTCACTTACATTTGGTCATCACAAAGAGACCAGTTTATTTCACTTCTGGGCACAGGGGAAAATTCTTCTCCTAGCTTTGCAAATTCACTGTTATTATTAGTGTCTCACTGTAGCTACCTGGATCTCAAGCTGAGAAAGGGGGGGCCTCTAACCTCCAAGAGAAATCTCCAGATGAAAGCCATCAATACCCAGGTGTGTTCTGAACTGTACAATCCAAAAGGGCCAAGAAATTACACACAGAAATAGGCAACAAGAGACTGCCTTATTTTTACATAGCGCCTTCCATCCCAAAACACTCTACGAACCATAGCCTCAGAGAAAACACGTCACCAGCCATTGTAAGGCAGCCACCAGCCCTGGACAACCTGCCCACGGCAAACGTCACAACAGTGTTGGGGACGGTGAGGGGAACTGCTCACTAAAAACATCGGCACAAGCCCTTAATCTTATGGAAGGAATCATGGGATCGCTAACGTCCAGGCACTGCAGATAGAATGTCAGCTGTTGCAGTCTCATGTCAGTGACCCACATGCCCTAATCAGCACACAGAAATCAAACTTACCTCCGGGAGAAGGGGAAAAGTTGGGCGGACCCTGCTAGGATTTGAACCTGTGGTTCTGGAGAGTCTAGGTATTTCAAAGCTGATACTTAAACCAATCCCTTCCAGCTTGCAAGACTGGGCCAAATTTACCCCTGATTTCACATCACTGGAGTCACACCATGGATAATTTGCCCCACTGGGTCTACTGGAATGTAAAGACCATATAAGGAAAAAATATCAGTGAAATTACAGTAATGAAAACTGCATTGACCTGGCAGTAGCAGTTAATTACTTCAGGACTTGTCCCCGGACAAAATCTGAAGTACATGAGATTTGCCAAAACTGCTTCAGCTACTTCCCCTTCACCCCAGTAGCCTGCGCAAGTCTAGGTTCTTAAAGCAGAAGAGAGTAAGGAGAAGAGTATAAGGGGAGGGCAGGTTAGAGAGGAGGATGTACACCAAGCAGAGAAAAGAAACTCTTCCTTTGCTGGGTTTGTATGATTGAAGATGTTGTAACCCAAGAGAGAATTATTCCTTGGAGGAATATAATGTTAAGGGGGATCCAACTGCTCTAACTCTGCCCAAACAGACCCACCCTGCCACCACGCGAGGGCTCATTCTGGCCCTGGTTCAACAAGGTACTTAAGAACATGCCTGACTTCAAGCACCCATGTAGTCCCACTGAAGTCCAGGTTAGGCATGTGCTTCCTTGCTGAACCATGGCCTACCACCGTTACATGCCCTTTGTTCCTACGGAAGAAAAGAGGAGCAGGGGCTGAACAAACAGGCCTTATGATCTGGAGGGGTGTGCATTTGTGGGTATCGCAAAAACCTGAGTAAGTGCCAGTCCTATTCCCAGCAGCTTCCTCGAGTGAGTAGTCACAGCTACTCCCACCTGCAAACAAGATGAGCTATTGCTTAACAGAATACTCCTCTAGCTCTTCTCCAGTCCTTTCCGTCAAAGCACTTTCTAAACGGTAACGAATTAAGCTTCACAATCCTCCAGGACTCACTGTGCACCTGAATTTGGGGTGTAAAGAGGAACATGTCCATTCAAACTATCTCAGTTTCTTATCATATTTAATCTCCCATTGGAGGCTTTTTCTTTCCTGCAGTTACTACAGCAGTTTCTAAAACCCTTGCATTATTTCTAGCCCATGTACTTCATCTCAGATGACCTATCAGAATGGAACAGATCTCCTCTTTTCTATACCTGCAGTGATTTGGGTTGGGGAAGGAGGTAGAGTATTAACAGTTCAGCTGAACCCACCAGATCCCTTTTCACCCTCCATTATCCAGTAGATACAACAGAGCCTTGCAACTTACAATTAAGAGTGTCTGTAAAATGGTGACAGCATCAGTCAATTACAAATTCAAGACTGGACAGAGCCCTGAAGAAGATATTGTGCGGAACAGCCCACCCTCCTAATGATGAGACTGGATTAGGGGCTTGCTGCAAAGACTACTTCAGGGCAATGCGCCCATTGATGTCACTGGATTTTGGATCGGGCCCTTCAATTCTTAACAGGTTTCTTCCATTTCTAATTTCTGTGATACACTGGGAAATGGAAATGGGAGGATTATGAGGAGCAATAAGACGTAATGTGGCCAGTCCTTGTTACCCTAAGTTCTGACCACTTAGCCCTGTAAACAGAACCCGAAGGAGATGGGATTGGTAAAAGGATGGGTTATTTTTAAAAAATCATATCAGAATCACTAGAAAATGTACAAACAGATTCCAGATATGATCTATAGAGATGCACAATGCCTAACATCCTACATGTTTCAAGCAAGCCATTTTAACATTTTCTTTACATATTAGAGATTTTTCAGAATATATATATATATTTCAGAATATATATATATTTTTAAAGAAAGATCAAATAAAGATATTTACTACAGGATTTGATTGTCAGCAAACACAATATATTTACTGCATTAGCATTTGCTCACAGTGCAAATGGTACAACAATACATCAGTTCAATATTTCTGATTTTTTTCTTAAAAATGCTGTATGCATTAACTATCATATTTGCATTACAACGTGACAAATGAGCAAATGAAATGTGTGTGAAAATTATCACCTTTTCACAATATCAAGCATAATTTTTTTAACCTTAGTATAAGGTACTATTAATCCAAGAAATAAAAACATCCAAAAATTATTTTAAATTGGTAGGTCTTTTTTTTTTTCTCTAAGTACTCAACTTTATACAAAAGACTTTCAAAAATATCATTCCCTTAGGTTTGCATGTTTAAACCTGATTTTTGTGTGTGTTCCTTTCAGTTCACATAAACTAGATTGCATTTTCTCTCTTCTCCTTTATGTTGTATGGTTTTTGTTTTGTTTTGTTTTTTAGAAAAAAAAAATCACATGCAGACATCAAACCTGAATAGCACAACCTTTTGGCAACAAATATTTTTTTAAATAATTATTATTTTTGTTTAGTTTAGCTTAAATGTCTGAGCACAGTTTTATTAAAACAAAAGAAGAAAAAATCAGAGCAGTCATGCAGTGACATGCACATACCAGAAGGAGAAAGGAAAAAAAATAATATAGAGGGATAACTGATTTCTCCTCCCTGTGTTTTTTTAAGTGACCAATTAAAATAAAAATATATCACATTATAAAAAGTATTCAGCAAAATACTGTTTTCTGCATTTCTGTAAAGAATTTCCCTTCTGCTGAAAAAAAAAGATCAATCAGTATCTTCCCTCCCACCCTCCCCAACATTATATTGTCAACCCAGATTAAGCTAGGAGTACCTGGAAATTCATCATCCACTTCCCTTTTAGTTTCTTTTTAAAGATCTAGATAGCTAGTCCATTTAAATCCACCACAGACAAATGGTGCTTTGGAAAAAAATAAAGGGTGAAAAGATGCATAAAGTGACTTTAAATCAGACATCCTGTAAACTCAATTACTTCCCCCCTCCCTCCCTCACCCCAACAGTATACTAGCCACAGGGGAAAAAGATTGAATAGGTAACAACAGTACATTCAGTCAGATCTTTGATGAAAGCTGCTAAGCAGCTCCACTTTCCCCGTCTTTCGTAGGGTTCAATTGAGCAAGTACATTCAGAGCTGCTTACAGAGGACAACTGGGAGGTGGATTTGGGTGTGATAAAAGAGGATTTTAGTTGAATACAAATCCCCCATCTTCCCTTTGGAGGAAAGTTTGGAGTAAAATTTTACTCCTCACAGTTATTTTCTCTTCTCCAAAAATAAAACATTAAAGCTGTAAATACTTATATACCTTTATATATGGTTGGTACTGTACTAGAAAGCCAATAGTGACATTAACAAATACATACTGTATATATTTTTTATTATATTTTAATTCAGAACTGCTGTAGAGATGGTAACAAGAACAGAAATGGCAACAACCTCTTCTCATCCAGATGAAAGGGAGAAAGATGTTTCTCCCCCTCTTCCCAAGGGTTTTCATACTAAATGTCACATGAACTAAAACACCAAGTGGAGTGAAATGGTGTAATTTAGGGGGATTGCCTCTTTCTTTCTTCCTTCCAGAAGGGAGGATACTTTGGGTGGTAGAGGTGAGGGGGAAGGAGACAGAGGATGAACCTGTAAAGGAAATCGGTTTAAAAAATAAACCCATGAAGATAAATCTGGAGCAGCCAAGAGCTGATCCCAAGCCATATCCCTTCTCCAGCACATCAGAGGAAGTGCCTCGAAGACAAGTAGTGAAGAGACCAGGAAAACGTAAAGGAAGCGGCTCCAAGAGGAGGGGGGCAGGAGACCAGAAGCAGCAGCAGCAGCAGCATCCTAGGCATTTCTGTAAGAAACATTTAGATCAGATGGAAGGCCACCCATTCCAATGATACCCAAGGTCCCCACTATGTCCAAGAGGTGGCTTGGTTCTCTCCATTGTCCAGAGTCCTTTGGGGGTGGTTTGACGCCGAAGCAGCCCAGTTCAGCTCAGAGTCACATACACACACAGGGACGCACAGTCTCAACGGGCAGCAAGCACTGCGCTTTGGTGCTCCCCCCACCACCTCCAATGAGTAGCGAGGGGGGGGGAGGAAGGGGGCGCGCATATTCGGAGCGGGGAGCTTCCCCGACACCGTCACCACCACCCTCGCTCGCACCGCATGCCTTTCCACAGCTGGCACATCACAGCCCTGCAACCCCTCACCCGCCCCCCACTACACTCCGCTGGGAGAAGTGGGGGGCTCCCCCGCCCCTCCCGCAGCCGATTCGGATCAAGACGATCCGATTGAAAGCGAAGTCCCCACGAAGCAGGGACGGGAGGGGAGGTGCGCGCACTGCCAACTGTTCCTTGGTGAGGGATCCCCATGTTTGCGCTTTTGCTAAAGGCAGCAATTGGGAGGCACTGGGACCAGGGATCGGGGCGGGAGCCTCATGCGCAGGTGGTGACCACCGGGGCCAAGGACACGGGCGGGGAGGAGGAGGAGGAAGAGGAGCCCTTCTCGGCCTTCTTCTCCTTCTGCTTCAGATGGATCTTGGCGTGTCTCTTGCGCTCGTCGCTGCGCGCAAACTTGCGCCCGCAGAACTCGCAGGCGAAGGGCTTCTCGCCCGTGTGGGTGCGGATGTGGGTGGTAAGGTGGTCGCTGCGGCTGAAGCTCCTCATGCAGATGCGGCACTGGAAGGGCTTGTGGCCCGTGTGGATCCTCAGGTGCCTCGTGAGCTCGTCGGATCTGGAGAAGCGCCGGTCGCAGCCCTCGGCCGGGCACGCGTGGGGTCGCTCGTGGAGCGGGGTTTTGCTGGGCCGGTTGGGGTACTTCCTGGGCCGGATGGGCTTGAGGGTGAGGGGCTGCTGCTGGAGGCTGCTGAAGCTGGGGTGGATCTGTTTGTCCTTGAAGGCTTTGATGGTCTCCAGCGGGGTGATGGGGGGAGGGTTGACCCGAATGGGATCCAAACTCTGGAAGGGTTTGTGTTCAGTGAGCGTGCCCATCTCGTTGGGGTGGTGATAGAGGTTATAGTCTGGGATCATGGGGAAGAGGTTACTGTCCAAGGCTGGCTTGGCTGCTTGGTAATCCTGGGGGGAATAGGTGAGCCCTGGGTTGCTTTGGGGGTCGTGAAAGGACACTGGCTCCGGGTAGAGGTCACTGCAGGTGGAATAGGGGGGCAGCGCAGGGTACATCTGGTCCACCTCTCCCTGGTTCTGCACCATGCTGGCTGTAGAGGTCTGGGTGCTGGTGATGGCACTGGAGGAAGGGGGCACCCCCAGAATCCCAGCGCTCATGAGGCTGATAATATTATCCTGACACCAGTTGGACGGGGAATCGAAAGCAAATTTCCCCAGGTAGGTAACAGTCTTGTTGCCAGGGGTGGGTTGGAAAGAACCCGAATAGGACGACAGCTCTTGGTTGGTCTTTTCGTTCGCTAATCCAATATCCATAACATTCTCTGCAAAAAGGAAAGAGAAGGGGGATGAGTAACGCCGCGTCAGAGAGTGGTGCAGGCAAAAATGTTGGGGCCCTAGATAAAACAGGAGGAGAGAAAACGGGACGTGGTCTAAGATCTGGGACACCCAGAGAGGTGGGATGGGGCGAGAAATACCCAGGTGAGGGACTTTTACCTAGAACTGCGGCTCAATCCCAAAACACTGCCCAGGTAACAAGCAGGAAAATGAAACAGAAGCTTGGCTGAGATCTATATTATACACATCTGTGGGTACTTTCACCCACAGCCATGTGTATCCATACGTGGGTAGTGACACACACACAGCCACAAATACACACACCTGTGCTCACACATACACACTGATACACAAATACATACCCATAGGTGTTCACACACACGCAGTTATAGACAGCTGGGACAATCTACATATAGACTGCATATACATCTCCACAAAGACAGCTCTAGAGGTGACAACTACACACACACACACGGACTAGAGAGACACGCATTGTGTTGTCTTGTATGGCTATAGCCCAGTAAAGCCCTCGAGGTGGATCAGGAGGAAGCAGGTACCTGAAGTTACAGGTAGGCTCAGGCTGCCAAGAGCGAACTGGTCTCTCAGCTGGTGTTCAGGTGCTTTGCCACCCCACAGGCAGAGCTGGGGACTCCAAGGGACCCGTGTCCGGCCACCAGCGCTTTACAAACTTGCCGTGTTTTCTGCGTCCAGCCCAGTTATGGAAGATACAAGGGAGTTTTAGAGCGAGCAGCGCAGCTGTGGAGTTGCAATCCTGCAACGGATTGAATTGGCAAAATACAAGAGCTTCCGCGGTTCGGATCGGGGCAGAGGTGTGCAGAGGGGACGGCAGAACCGGGTCGGCTCCCTGAGCGGGGATCGAGGTTCTAGAACCCCCCCCCCCCCCGCCAAGAAATCAAGTTGGAAGAAACCAGAGCAGCAGCCGGGGCAACTTCAGCAGCACCCAAGTACTCCTGGCCGGGGAGAGGGGTGGGGTGCGGGGTGAGAGAGCGGAGCCATCGCTTCTCTGCCTTACAGGCTCACCTGTCTCCCCAAGGGTTTGCTCCATCTCCTCCTCCCCCGAAAGCTCCCTATTCCCACCACTCCCGCTGCATCCCCATGTTGGAAAATAGATTTCACACACCCACACCCTTATCGTTCTGACAACAATATTCATAAAAAAAGTCTGTGCCGGATTATTTCTCCCCGGTGCCTAAGGCAGCAATGGGCAGCAGACTCTAGACTAACCCCATGGAATAGATACACAGCACAGATATCGATATCTCTAGCTAGATACACACACAGAGGGAGAGACACCTAACACACACAGAGTCACATTGCATTTACACACGCACGTATAATATACACACTATCCCTCTCCAAGGGGAAGCATCCATGACTTCGAATAGCGCCTGGGGTGGCTGGAGATGGCCCCTTTAAGCCTGCACCTCAGGACCCGCTGCCCACCGTCCGACCCCCAGCGATTTTGCACCGGCACCATACCTGCCACCTCTCTGTCTGGCAGCTTCCACTCCCCACTACAGCCCCGAGAAGCGAAGGAAAGCCCTGCAGCAGCGGAGACAGCGAACGCATAGAAACACATAAAGAAGGGGACGTTGGATGGATGGGTGGGTGGGGGAAAGATTCCCAGCCCCATCGTCTCCTTTTCCTTCTAGGCTCCATCACACCCCACACACAACACGCGTCCTCCTCCTTTACCCCCACCCCCTCTCCTCCCCATATATCCCTTCCCCTTACCTGCAGCCATCTGGTTGTAGTGAGCCACTGACTCGCTGCTGCTGGAGAAGATATTCAGAGAGTTGGGGATCTCCTCTGGGTACAGATTGTCAGGCAACTGGTTCATCAAAGTGTTCATGGTCCCCGGCAGCTTCTCCACGAGTTTGCCTGTCATAGCACTGGAGGAGAAGCAGGTTCAGCGTGGCTCGGAGCTCAGCTCCCAATGAAACGGCATCCGATCCGAGTGGCAAATCCGTGCAAGGGAAATCATGCAAGAGAAAAGTTGGGGTGGGGGAGGGGGTTTTGAGGGGGGGTAGGCGGGGGAGTTGGGGGTGGTTTGCGGAGGCGGGGGAAAGGGATGGGGGTACAATCCTCAGTGGGTCCTTGGTGGTGTTTCCTCGAGTGGGAGGGGGTGATCTGGCTTGCAGATCTGGTTGTAGAAGCCGGTGGGAGTATTTGATCCCTCCTCCCTCCTTGTCTCTGTCGCTCTGTCTCTGTCCCCCTCTCTTGCGAGCAGGTTCACTCACTGCTGCCCAAATGTTCAGGCAGGGAAATCCACAGCCTATTTATGTGAGGCACTGGAAAGCTCCGTGACGTAGCTGCCCATATATGGACAGACAAAGCCCAGCCGAGAGGGCGACGTCACAATGGAAGCTCCTCACAATGGAAAACTAGAAAGCAGGAAGCAGCGCCTCAGCCAATGCTGCTTTGCAACTGCGATGCAAAGCAAGGGACACGGTGCACGATTTTGAAAGCACCTCGGTGCACTAAAAAAGTATCTTTATCGGCTATATAGCTCTGAAAGCACATCTGGACGACAAGCTGCCCTGCCTAACCCGGGTCAAGATTTGACCGCGCTCCTGTGCACCGGGCGCTCGCTGTTATTATTTACCTCGGGCATGGCTGGAGAGGCACCTCTCTGCCTCCGTCAGCCAGAGTGGACTTTTAAAAAGAAACAGCGCTCGTCGTGACTTTGAAATGACTTCGCAATTACTTTTGAAAGACAAGTTCTAGCCACTGAATTTACCCGTGCCCAGCCCTGGGTGGTCACCCAGCTCCCCTTTGCAATGGTGCCATCGGATTGTGTTGTTAAAGCAAACCGTGTTTTAAAGACAGTCGGCGTAGATGGTAATTGACTAGTTGCTTGCTGTAACTTTGCTAAGCTGTCAATGCACATCTGGAAAGCTAAACAGGAAATAACCACTGTACATAACTTGAAACACCCCCCCTCCCCCAACAAACTCCTGCATGCAAAGAAACACTTTCATTTGGGGAGATATTCCTATGGATTACTTAGTATTCACAATTTAGTATATGTTAACTCCATGCATTCTCTCTCCCCCCCCCCCCCCCAAGATAGGTAGGTCTGGAGACGGGGGTCCGAACCAGGATCTTCTCTTGAGGAACTAGAGGCTTAATGTGTTGGGTTTTGTGCATACACAACGCTGGGAAGCTAAACTGGCCACAGGGAAATGGTTTCATTTCCAAGGGAACCAAGAACGGTGAGCTATGGAGGTGCCACTGCACAGTGTCAGGCAGTGTTTTGTGGGAGTGAAGTGCTTAAAACCACTGGCTTAAAGGTGCTGAACTTGCAGAAGTCGCGGCAGACTTGAGATTTCTTTTCAAGCTAATCATGGGAGAGGAAAAGAAATGAATTTGCATCCAGTAGCCCCGGCACCTCTCTCCTTGATATTATGCACAGGAGCACTTTGCATAATTTAAAGCTGGTTACACTCGTTGGTCGCCTGTGATTTTTAACCTCCCCTCCCCCTTCAAAGTTTGGCACTTCCAAGGCGTCAGTAATTAGGTGGTTTCGTGTTAAGTGTGCCAACTGATGCTATCTTTAAATAAAACCCTCCGAGTTATATAGCAAATGTATGGAAAAATTCTATGTTGCAACAGCTCCACTTACCCAATTCCTGCAGGGCCAGCTTTGCAATGCGAGTGAAATCCATGTGTAGGAAATCTGAATCTGAGGAGGTAGGGAGGAGAATTCAGCACGAGATTTCTGCATTTGCGGATAAATCTCTAACTGCACACTTGGGGGGGGGGGCGACATAGGGGTTGATTGTGCATCTTTAGATCCCTGATTTATTTTTCAGAGTGAGCCCCGAACTGCACGTTTGGGGCGGGCCTGCATCATCAGAAGCATGCCTCTTCTTTTAGGGGGAAGGTGTAGCCTTGAACTCGTTGGGGGAATTGGGTGGGAGTGAACATGTGCCATTATTTTCATTTTTGGGTGGGGGTGGGGTACTACATTTTACACTTGGGGGTAGCATGTTTGAATGGGGAGGGGGAGGACACATCAGGATGATCCCTGAACTCTTCCCTTGGGAGGCAAGCCTGTCCCCATCCGATGCCTGTGTAACTAACACACAGTAATTATATTATTTATTTGTATTACCATAGCGCCTAGGAGCCCTAGTCCTGGAGCAGGACCCCATTTTCCTGCTTGCTGTACAAACACAGAACAAACAAAACAAACAAAACAAAAAAAGCAGCAACCTCCAGCCCCTAGGGGCTAAGTTACAAAGTTACACTGCTGTTTGGGAGAGCTCTCAGCTGCAAACTTGGGGTGGGGGGACATGCCCCCTTAGAGGTGTACTAGTGGGAGGGGGTGTAGTCCTGCCGGGGGGCGCTTCACTCTGCCCCATTAGGAGTTTGCAGTGCCCAGAAGGGAACTGTGCCCCCATTGCCTGGAGAGGGGGTAGCTCTGCAGGGCCCTTACCCCAGGAGGTGTTTGCACCGGGAAAGGTAACCCTGAATTGCAGGGCTGGAGTAGGGCCCCGTTAGATGCTGGCATTGGAGGGGGAAGGAGCCCCCAGCCGGGCCTGGGAGGGGGGCGTGGAGCCCGGCCCCCTTAGGTGCTTGCCCCCCTGGGGTAGGGGCCCTCTGCCCCCCTCCGGGGCCCGCTGCAGCCAGGCGGGGAGGGGAGGGAGCCCCGGCGGCAGGAGGGGGAGGCCCGGCAGGGCAGGCAGCCCAGGGGAAGCTCCATACAAGGCTCAGATCCGGCACCGCCCCCAGCTCCTTCTATGGCAGCAGGGTTCCGGTTCCCCGGCTACAAGTGGAAAGAGACCGAGCGGAACTGGCAGCCTTTAAAGGAGCCGCCCGGAGGGGGGTGGGGGGGTGAGTCGGTGGTTTGCACCCTCCCGGCCTGGGACCGCTCCCCCTGCAGGGACCCGGGGCTGGGCTCGCTCCCCGGGGCCAGTGGAAGGCTCAGCTGGCACCGGGCTACATGCAGGGGTGCAGCCAGTCTCTGGCAAGCCCCCTCCCACCCCACCCAGAGCAGAGTAGCTAGAGGGCGGGGTGGGGGTGTTCTGCATAACCCCCATGCTGAGTGCCCACACTCAGCAAACGGGATTGGCTTAAGGCCTCACCCCCAAAAGACCCCCCTGCAGTGCACTGCTTGGGGTGACTAGATGTCCCAGTTTTATAGAGACAGTCCCAATATTCGGGGCTTTGTCTTATATAGGCGCCTATTTCCCTGCCCCCACCTGTCCCAATTTTCACACTTGCTATCTGGTCACCCTACTCAATTGATCTAGCTGAGGAGGAAGGTGGTGTTGATTCTGCTCATTGAACATCCCAAAGTATAAAACACCAAGCCATGTACTACCCTGTCGTGTGCAGAATGGATGTTGCCAGCTTTTGGGAGTGGGAGCTAGGACAGAGAGGGCATCCCTCGGGGAATGGCACCAAACACTCCTGCTTCCCACTGTCTTGGGGGCAGATGCCGCAGAATTTTAAGGGACCGATTCTTTCCTCCTTCCAGCTTTGTTCCCTGTACTGACTATGGCCTGATCCTGCAGTCCTTATGGCTCCGTATGGAACAGAGGGCTGGGCTCCCAATCTTTGAGTTAGAATCATAGAAGATTAGGGTTGGAAGAGACCTCAGGAGGTCATCTAGTCCAACCCCCTGCTCAAAGCAGGACCAACCCAACTAAATCATCCCAGTCAAGCCAGGCCTTAAAACCTCTAAGGATGGAGATTCCACCACCTCCGTAGGTAACCCATTCCAGTGCTCCTGTATCTATCTCATAGAACTGGAAGGGACCCTGAAAGGTCATCAAGTCCAACCCCCTGCCTTCACTAGCAGGACCAAATACTGATATTGCCCCAGATCACTAAGTGGCCCCCTCAAGGATTGAACTCATAACTCTGGGTTCAGCAGGCCCATGCTCAAACCACTGAGTTATCCCTCCCCCACTTTATATTTTGGAGTTCTCCTGTATCTGAATTATTATACTGTTATACTCAGTTGTTCAGTTTAGATTATAAACTCCTTGGGAGAAGGACTTTAAACTAGATTCTACTGTTAGTGACACTGGTGTAAATCTGGAGTAGCTCCATTGAAATCAAAGGGGTTGCTCCAGATTTATGCAGGTGTAAATGAAATCAGAATTTGGTCCCTTGACTATGATGAGGCTGGAAAGCCATATGTACATACCTATGACACTATAAACCACATAGTCCCAACTTTGAATAGGAAATCACTAGTGGTGCAAGGAATATATGGATCTTTGGGAGAAAAAAATAGAAGGGTTAGGATCTTTTTCACCCACTCACTAAACTCATACAGAGATAACTGGGATTTCCATTCCCACATTCTTCAAAGCAAAGCATGGGATGGAGTGGGAATTTGCTTGTGTGATGGTTGCCATTTTAGTTGACCCACTGGGGGTTGAACAGGGCACCTCCGGAGCTAAAAGCTATAGCTAAAAAAACCAGCCTCTATGACTAGGGGCTGTAACAGACACGCAGACTCTATGGCTCTGGCTCAGAGGGAGACAACATAACACACTGACCAGTGGGTTACACTTGCTTCTGCTAGATTTTGGCCCCCCTCCAGACACAGCATTTTTTAACTCTGGTTCCTGAGGAGTCTTCTGATGGCATATTTGGGGGGAGGGAGGGGGTGTCTGGAATGCATCAGGTTGCAGTGTATGCCCTATCCTATATTATATAAAAATACTTCCCAGAAACGATGCTCTTGGATTCCTCAAAGAGGGCTTGATCTCTCACCCCTACTTCCAAGAACTGCTTAGCAGCCACACAGGTGGGTCAGGGTGTGCAGATCAGGACTCCCCCCTCGACTCTAGTGCCCGGGTTGCCTCCACTGCCAAACGCAGAATAATAATAAATAACAATAAAAAGCTACTCCAGATTTTATAGTGGAGGGCTGAGTGTTTGCTTTA